ACCGCGACCTCCCGCAGAAGACGAGTGACCGTGCCGAGGCAGTGCTGGCACTTGGGTTCTTCCCTCCTTTTGCATTATTAGATGTATGTTCTAAAGGGGGGGGGGAAAGGAAACAATTAGGGGTAGCAGCGCTAACCTAGCATGCAGCAATATCCATTAAGTAGGAGGCTGCTATGCTGCAATTAGTTTTAAGTGATCTTGAGCATTTTCATTAGCTCTCAGATGCTTTTGACGTACTTAATTTACACCACAGAAACTGCAGAAGATGGCAGACGATGATTAAGATGCGCTTTTACTCTTCTAGAGTGCACCAAGTACGTTGTAGCTACGGACCACGCATATAAAGCAATATTGCTTATTATTCAAAGCTGTTTTTCACATTAATCATGTGCCTGCTTTGCTCTGAGAAGAGAAATTAGAATACAGCAATATTCTGGCTGCTTGTTTTTAAAATACACGTGTGGGTGGACACTCCAGCTACTGCTCACACTTTTCTCTTGCAAGTCACAGAAGAGCTGCTCGTGATTCTCCTCCCTGGTATTTTCTCTTGACACTAATTTTGTTGGCCAGACCTCGGAAGGATGCTGCCTCAAACCAGTCAACAAGTGTTGCATGGAAATAATAAGTATTGCTAACCGAGAAATGTTGGGATTTCTGGATTGCAGAGAGGAAACCTTGGAAGAGCTTTAAAATGAAAGGTGTCATAATATTTTCCCCCCAGCAAAGAAACAGAAGGCCTGTAGTGCTATTATCTTTGGCCATTAAAACACTTCTGATTTTACACCTTCGGGTCCAAATATTGCTTAACAAGTTCTCAGAAACACATTGCAATGCTGCTTCTGAAAATTCTTTAAGAGCTCTATAGTAGTAGAAAGCAAGGGACTGATTTTTAAGAGCAGAATTTGAGCCAAGCTTTAAAGCAAGCTTGAGATCCTGAAACGCAGATCTAAGGAAAACCTGCGCTAACGCTCCACTCAAGTCCATGTCGCTTCCAACTTAAAGCAGCTGCTTGGTGGAAAAAACTGAAAGTTAGGGTTAAATTATTGACGGAAATACATACCTAGCTGGTCAAACCCAGGAGCTGCCAGTCCTCGTTCAGTCCCGAGACAGAGGGTCGCGAGCAAACACAGTAAGTGACTTTGCCTGGAAGGTCTCAGCCTTCACGCAGGCAGCCCGGCTGCCGACAGGTCTCAGGATACATTCAGGGTGCTGCACAGAGAATTTTTATATTCAGCTGACGTCACCTCGTGACCCTGGAAAGACGTTAGGGAGGCACTAATAGCAACTTGACTAGTCGTACCAGCATCTTCCGTGACCTTGTCTCACCACATCTGAGCTCATGAAGAACATTTCAGAAAAACAGCGAGTTCTGGGATTGAATGACGTTTGATTGAATGAGAAAAATAAAAAAAAAAAAAAAAAAAAAGAGAGAGAAAAACAACCAGCCTGAGAAATAGCGAGTTACCGTTCTGCTCACCAGATATGAGCAGTGTGTCAAGGCACGTCTCCAAGCTGAAAAACTTACGGGACGCACAAATAGCTCCATGAAAACCGTGCTGTCACCGCCTCATGAAAAAGCACGCTGATGGCAAACAGCAGCTACGGACAAAGCCTGTAACGCAATACAGGAGCTGCAGCAGACATCAGAACTGCTTGTTTACTCCTGACAAACGATTTTTGCCGAATGTCTTTCATCAGAACCCTTTTAAAAAAAAAAAAACAACAAAAAACCCCAACCCAAAAAAACCCCAACCCCAGATCCGTTCACTTTTCTAAACCGCACTTATTCTAAACAGGCTAAAGCATTTACTTCCAACATATACTCCTTACGCTACAAAACATTTTAATTCTTAAAGAAAAATCATTATTCCTTTAATTCGGCAAAATACTCCTACATAAGAAATAAAACTCAAGCACGCGTGCGGTACGCTCCTCAGTTGCTGTCGGGCACGTATTAGGTCAGGTGCGGTTTTAGCAAAAACTCTCCCACCGGTCCCTGGAAACGACGGGACTTCAGCTATTCTCCAACTAGCCCGAGGGCCGGAACCTACAGCCACGCCATCTCTCCAGGACAACACCGCTAGCCCAAGGCTACTGGTTATAAGAGCACGAGAGACACAATGCCACCGGCTGTCCGTCCCCGTCCCCCCCCCCAAACCCACCAGATCTGGGTTATGAGAAGCAGATCCAAACACAAGGTTTATGGAGTAACGTTCCTTTACAAGTGGAACGTGGCCACTGTTTTGCAACGATTAACGAGCGTCCCCAAGCAATATGGTATCTTTCACTCTAACCGTCATCCTTCTCTACACAGCCCCCTGGAAAATTGTGAAGATAGTGCCCTGTGATTTAGATTTGTATGGAACCTTTAACAGCCAACATCTTGACAGGCATCGGTTCAATTAAAATAAATTTCCCTTCTTATAAGGACGATAGATTACACACACACACACAAATCAGACTAGTTCAGTTTATACAGAAACAAATACAATTATACAATTTATTTGTTAATACAGTTTTAATTCACAATGCAGTTGATCTAGCACACGCGTAGATGACTTGCAGCACAACAGGCAGCCACCCCGGACATCACCCGTCCCCAACCTGCCCCAGGCTCCCAGCCTGGGACTTGGGGTGCCGATGCCCCCGCACCAGCACCCTGCACGGCTAGGAGCACCCGAGCATCTCCATCGCCCGCTCAGTCTCGTGGGACCCCCCTCTCGTAGCCTCCAAAGGCAGCTGGGGGACCTGCCAGCCGTTCTGCCAGGTACAGGCAGGACTGAGCCCGTTTTGTTCATATCGGATGTTCCCTGTGCTCTGCCGGACCCCCGGCCTCGGTGATCTCTGTACTACATACACGGAAACCTCTGCAGTGATAATGACACGTTACAGAACATCTCGGCTGTGTGAATAACTGCAGATACACGCTGCTCTGCCTTTGCACAGGCATCTCCACGAAGGCAGTGGGAGTTGTAGAGACATTATTAGGTCTCACGACATTTTAAAAAGGCTTAAATATAAAATGACTTATAGGGGTTTCAAAGGCTGGAATGGAACTGAAATAGTCTTTGCAATACTAATTGCCAGATGCTAAACACAATACACAGAGACGCATTGCATAACTGCTTGGAAATGAAAGAACAGAGATCAAAATCCATGCACAAAGTTAGAGAGCAAAAAGCCAGAGTTATTTCCAAGCAAAGCCTTTATGGCTGCTTCTACAGCCGCCCTGCAGCCTGACTCACCCGAC